GAAGACGTGTGGGTCCGCGAGGGTCTGGCGCAGAGATCCGTCCAAGTTGTGGTGAACTAAAGTAAGGCTCGCCTTCTGGGCCCAGGTGCTTAGGTGGTGGAGGGCAGCGTCGGTGGCTGTGCGGAACATCCTCGCGTCTGCGGTCATGGTGAGGTTGCATTGTGGCGTGTCGGGCCCACGTTGATGCGGTGCTTGTCGTCCACGTGGCCCCAATTGCGCATTGAGTTGGCTCTGGTGGTCAGCAGTATAACAATGGATGCCTCTTGACCCTGGGCGGAGTCGATGGCGGTGGCGCGCAGGGTCTCGTTTTCCAGGAGTTGAGGGAACAGGTCCCTGAGCCCGTCGAAGCGCTCGTTCAGGCCGTTGGCTGCCGTGGTCTGGTTGATCCAGGTCCCTCTTGTGAAGGACCTCTTGTCGGCGGGTGCGGAACGAGAGCTGCCCTGGCCCTGAGAGCGCCGGGAACCGGTCGCGCCCGCGCCCGCCTCAGGTCCGTCTGCCTGGGCCGCCCGTGAGCAACGTCTGACGTCTTGGGGAGAGCAGGGGTTGCCTGCCAGCACGGGGGCCAGCTGCAGCGTGCACGGCGACAGCACCAGGATGGCGCCGTTGGCGCGTGTCGCCCAGGGCACAAGGGCCTTCACCAGAGCTACCACGGTGCGCGCTTCGTGAATGTTGGCGCAGCCGTCCTGGTGCACGGACTGGACCTCCTGTGAGGGGGCGTGCGCAAGTAGGAACCGGTGCTGGTCGAAGACGGTGATGCCGTCTCCTGTGATCGGGACAGGCGGGCAGGCAGCCTTGCTCCTGAACCCGCCTGCGGTGTCGATAAGGGAGTTGGCGGGGCCGCATCTACTTTCCTCGTTCTTTGCTGCTTCGTACTCTTCGTTGGACAGCGGCACTGCGAGAGTCCCTCGGCGCAGGGGCGTTGCCGCATGGGGTCCAGGATGGCCGAGACCAGCCTGCCTCCATAGAACGTGAACGAGGGCCAGGCCAGCAGGGAAGGGTGGATGCGGTAGCACTCTTCCAGGGTGACGTTGCAGGTAGGGATCTCCCCTATGGCTGACACGTACTTGGCGAGGATGGAAATGCCGAGGCCCCAGCGCAGTGCTTGCTGGGACTTGACCGTTGGGCACAGCTGCCGCTCGTCGCCGAAGAGGACTACTCTGGCCCCGCATCGGACGGCGTGGACCAGGGACATGATGGCCATGGGCTCGGACATCTGACCCGCTTCGTCCAGGAGGCAGATGAGGAACTTCTTGTCCCAGAGGTCGGCCCCCGCCTCGTGCGTGGCCAGGATGAGCTTCGCCTCGGCTGCGATCTCCGCCGGGACAGTAACAATTTACAGTAGGAAGCAGAAAGCAGTGCTGTAACAATGGAAGCTGGAAACTGGAACTGGTGCAGGGAGCAGCAACCGTAATCCTCGCAGCCTGATGGCCCCGCAAGGGGGCCGGCGGATATATATATATATATATATATATATATATATATATGTGTGTGTATGCGAACATATGCACAATTTCATACATATGCATACGTATGTATACACAATATTGTACCGGTTCGCTTCGCTTCGCTTGTAGCGCGCCGCGACCACTGGTGCCTTGTGCGTTGCGCTGTCTTGGCACATGGGCCTTGCTGGGGTTGTAAGACCCATCGTTGCGCTTGGATTGGCTGCTCCCGTGTGCAGGTTCTGGTTGGGGCTCGTAGCCCTCACGGGGCTCATCGTTGGGCTTGCGTGGCTCATGGGACTCATGACGCTGCGGGCGCACATGGCTCATAGGGCTCATAATTATGAGTCCTACGAGCCATCGTTGTGGCTCATAGGGCCCATGGGCTCATGATTATGAGTCATATGGCTCATAGGGCTCATAATTATAGGGCTCCGCTGTGGACCTTATGCGTAAGGTCCACAGTGGATGGGCGCCCGCGCGGCTCATAGGGCTCATGGGGCTTCGGGTGCACATAGCTCATCGCGGGGGGGGTCGCGCGCCCGAAGAGTTCAACGGACTGCGGGCGCCGATGGCGCACAGGCCTCAGGGCTCATGGGGCCCATCGTGCCATGGGCGCATATGGCTCATATGTCTCGCAGGGCACGATGGGGCTCATCGCAGGATCGCAAGGGGGGGACGCGTCTTGCGGTTAGGGTGCGCACGGCTCATAGGGCTAATCATGCTCGTGGGCTCTGGGCGCACATGGCTTATAAGGCTCATAGGGCTTATCCTGGGGGTCGCGGCGGTCATGGGGGTTCGGGGTCGCGTGGCTCATAGGGCTCACAGGATTTGGGCGCATATGCCCCACAGGGCCCCCATAGAGTTCCGAGTGTTCATTGGCCCTTGGGGGCTATGGTCCACGGGGCTCATGGGGGCCATAGGGTTCATGGGGCGCTGGGTGCATGTGCTTCACAGGGCTCACAGGTCTCAGAGGGGACGTTGGGGGCATTTGGCGCATAGGAGTCGTAGGGCTCATCGTGAAGGATATCGAGGTTCAGTGGGCTCTCGGGGCGGCCGGAGCACATAGCCCATAGGGTTCAGAAAGGGTGTGTAGGGTCGGAGCGCTCGTAGGGTTCATGGAGGTCGCAGGTCTCGCAGGGCCGAAGGAGGGTATAATGCTTGAGGGTTGCGCGGGGCCGTACATAGCCGATGGCCGCCGTATGGCTCGAACGGGGGCGCGCGAAGGTCGTGAGGGTCCAAGAGCTGTCGTGGGGGTCACGGGGGTCATAGGGCTCATGGGGGTTCGGGGTCGCGTGGCTCAGATGGCTCATGGGATTTGGGCGCATATGATTCAAAGGCTTCCAGTGGTCATAGGCCCCTGGGAGCATATGTAAAGCTCATGGGGGCCATAGGGCTCATAGGGCGTTGGGCGCATATGCTTTTCTGGGCTCAGGGCTTTCAGAGGGCCGTTGGGGGCATATGGCTCCCAGGACGCATAGGGCTCATCGTGAAGGATATCGCGGTTCACTGGACTCTCGATGCGGCGGGAACCTATAATTCATAGGGCTCAGAAATGGTCTGTGGGGTCGTGGCGCTCGGAGGGCTCATAGAGATCGCAGGTCTCTTAGGGCCGAAGGGGGGTATGAAGCTCGATGGCCACGCGGGGCCGTACGTAGGGTTGATGACCGTTGTATGGCTCGACGGGGTGGGCGCGCGACGGTCTTGAGGGTCCAGTAGTCGTTCGCGGGTGCCATAGGGCTCATCAATGGATCGTAGGGGCTGTGGAGGTCACAGGGCTCGTGAGTGGCCAATGGGCTTATAGGGCTCATTGGGCCTGGGGCTGAAGGGGCTCATGTGCATCAGAGGGGTCGCGGGGCTTATAGGGATCGTAGGCCTCCTCGGGCTGGTAGGGCTCATAGGGCGCAAAGGGCTCGCAGGGCGCATGGGGTCGTAGAGCCCAAGGGCTCGCAGCAGCCCTGAAGCTCGTAGGGCTCGAAGGGCCTAGCGGGCTCGTACGTTTCATAGGTCTCATGAGGCTCGTAACGGCGGCGGGGCCAGCAGGGCTCATGCGGCTCGCAGGCTCATCGGGCTCGTAAGGCTCATAGGGCTCGTAAGGCTCATTGTGCACGTAGGGCTCGTAAGGCTCATAGGGCCCGTGGGACTCCTGGGGCTCACAGGTATTGTAGGGCTCATGGGGCCACAACGCTTATAGGGCTAATATGGCTCACAGGGCTTACAGGGCTCATGGACATCATGCTGCGCGTGGGCTAATAGGGCTTGCCGGGTTCGCAGGGCTCGTAAGGCTCGCAGGTCTCGTAGGGTTCGAAGCGTTCATGGGGTTCATGGGCATGTAGGGCTCGCAGGATTCGCGGGGGTCATAGCGCCCGTAGGGCTTCTAGGGCTCGCAGGGCTCGTAGGGCGCGTGGAGCTCATGAGGCTTGTAAGGCTCGTAAGTCTGATGTTGTCGACGAATCTCGCGTCCAGTCTGCGACGCCTCCGCCCGACGCCGCCGCTGCATATCCGCCCGCCGCCCCACCCCAGTTTGGGGGGTCGTTTTGGAGCAAGTGGGGCCTCTTTTGGGCCGCTTGGGGCCTCTTGGGGTCTCTTGGGTGCCTCTTGGGGCCTCTTGGGCCCTCGTGGGGCCTCTTGGGCCCTCGTTGGGCCTCATGGAGGCCTCCTGGGGCGGAAGGCTCGAATTTTCGGTTCGTGTTCCCGCTCTTGGAGCCGTCTTGGAGCCCTCTAGGGCCGTCTTGGGCGCATCTTGGGCCGTCTTGGTGCGGTTTGGCGCTTCTTGGGCAGAACCTCCAAAAGCATTGAAGACCTGAGGGGGGATCGATGGTGTTTGCCTCGCAGGGCCCTCGTGGGACGGCTTTTGAAGATCTCTTGGAGCTTCTTGTAGGCGTCGTGCGCCATCTTGGCGGTTTGGACAGATCGTCCAGGCCCGCCCAGGCGGTCGAAGAAGGCCTGAAGTAGCACCCTGAACCCCAAATTTGAATTTCTGGCGCTCGGAACGCCCAGGGCAGAATTTATGCTGGGGGGAGTCCAGGGGGGGTCCCAATATTTGAATATCCGAAGAATATCCGGAAAACAAGAATAAGGGCTCGTGGAAGCGAGGAGGTGGAGGACGGGGTGGAGAAGGAGGTGGAGGAGTAGTTGTGATTTGTTCACAACGTCGACCCTCAGAGGTCTCGACCCATTCCCCGGGAGCGGCTTTTCACCCTGATTAGTTGTTCCCCAGTCTTGGGTCCCAGCGAGGCCCCCCAGTGGCCGAAAATAGTTCGTTTCACGACGCTAGCAGGTGGAGGAGGAGGAGGAGGATCTAGACTTTCCAGATGGGGTCGGAGTAGATGGGGTCGGATAATCACTCCGCATCGCCGATGCATCGTCGATGCGGCTCGATGCGGAGCCAGATTTCTCCACGTCGACGTCGCCAACGCATCGCCGACGTCGGCGATGCATCGGCGATGCATCGCGGATGTATGGGCGATGTGGCGCGATCCTCCGACCTCATCTATTCGGACCCTATTTGGGAGGCCTCTAGAGGGGCAGGGAGGAGGAGGAGGATGCCCGGGGCAGGCGTGGCGGGGCCAGATGGTCACGCCGCGCGCGCGGGGTGTCGTGCGCGGTGTGCGCCGGTGCGGCGGCCGAGCTGGCGCCGCTCTCGTGCTGCGCCCAGCGGGTGTGCGCGAGCTGCGCGCGCCGGTGGGCGGAGCAGCAGGCGCCCTGGCCTTTCCCAGAGCTTTTTGGCCCAGTATCGTTTAACCGAGGCCTAGCCCCATCCCCAGCCCCATCCCAACCCCCACCATCCCACCGCCACAGTTGGGGATATGCCCCTCGAAACTGAAAGGATATCCCCGTCTAGGGAGGTACATGGGCCAGTGGCTCCCAGGCCTCGCCGGTGGGGATAGGGATCGAATCGGTGAAACGATGCTCAGCAGGCGCCCTTGTTCTCCAGAGCTCTTGGTCTACACGAACAACTGCATAAGCATAACCTTTCGGAGCTCCGATCGGATGTCTCGGATCGGCGCTGGAACCCCCTGGCGCGCTCCGCGCGATGGGGAGGGGTGTCCAGCGCAGATCCATGAAATCCACGCGGAGCTTCGAAATATTATGTTTATGCTAGTCCCCATATCCAGAGGATGCGGTTCTTGTTATTCCCCATGTCCAAAGGATGGGGGTTCTTGTTTCCCATATCCAGAGGATGGGGTTCTTGTTCCCCATATTCAAAGGATGGGTTCTTGTTATCACTGTGACCGCGCGGACCTTCCTCTCACACTTCCTCCTCCCTTCTCCTCCTCCCCCATCCCGCTCAGAGTATGATGATGATGATGATGATGATGATGATGATGATGATGATGATGATGATGATGATGATTATGATGCTGATGGATGGTGGTGGTGTTGGTGGTGGTGGTGGTGAAGGTGGTGGTGGTGGTGGTGGTGCTGGTGGTGCTGGTGGTGCTGGTGGTGCTGGTGGTGCTGGTGGTGCTGGTGGTGCTGGTGGTGCTGGTGGTGGTGCTGATGGTGGTGCTGGTGGTGCTGGTGCTGCTGGTGCTGCTGGTGCTGCTGGTGCTGGTGGTGGTGCTGGTGGTGGTGGTGGTGATGCTGATGCTGATGCTGATGCTGATGCTGATGCTGATGCTGATGCTGATGCTGATGCTGATGATGCTGATGATGATGGTGATGATGATGGTGGTGATGATGATGATGATGACGATGCTGATGTTGATGATGATGATGATGATGATGATGATGATGATGATGATGATGATGATGATGATGATGATGAGCGTGATGAGCGTGATGAGCGTGATGAGCGTGATGAGCGTGATGAGCGTGATGAGCGTGATGGGCGTGATGAGCGTGATGAGTGGTTTGCTTGTTTTCGCTTTCCTAGGGGGGGGCGCCAGGTGTATTGCACGGCCTCCGTTCGCGCTCAGATTGCGGGGATGTATCGGGCGGTTTGCTTGTTTTGGTGCCCCAACATCCTTCGCTATCGGAGCAGATTCTGAGGATGAGTCAGGCGGCTTGCCGGCCTCCGTTCGCGCCAAAACGGCGGGGATGTATCTAGCGGTTTGTCTGTTTCGGTGCTTCACCATCCTCGGCTTTCCGAGCAGATTTGGAAGATGCCTCGAGCGAGTCGCTCATTTTCGCTCCCAAGAGGGGGGGAGGGGGGGGCAACATTTGAGGAAGTCTCGAGCGGTTTGCCTATTTTGCTGGCCAGGTTCGTGGGCGCGGATTCTCTTCAGGATGCAACAAAAGGCTTCAGCAGGCTCCAGGAGGCCACAGGAGGCACCAGGAGGTATCAGCTGGTATCACGTTGCCCTAGAAGGCCCCAGGAGGTCCCAGGAGGCCACACGAGGCCACACGAGGCCACACGAGGCCCCAGGAGGCCACAGGAAGACTCGAGAGGCCCCACGAGGCTCCAGGAGGCCCTGGGAAGCCCCAGAAGGCCCCAGGAGGCCCCAGGAGGCCCCAGGCTCATGCGCGCGCTCGCACTATTGAGACTCATTCACGCTCCAGCTCATTCACAGTTAGATTCACTCCCAGGCCGTCGATACCCAAGCCTGCTTACGTAGCACCCCGCAGATGCGGAGAAGAGTGAGGGGGCGGTGGGGACGTCGGCAGTTTGCGAGACTCTAGAGAAGCCCGCCGCAGGCGCCAAAGTTTCACAATTCATACGCAGCTCCCCGCAGATGCGGATAAGAGTGAGGGGGCGGTGGGGACGTTGGCAGTTTGCGAGACTCTGGAGAAGCCCGCCGCATGCGCCAAAGCTTCACAAATTATTCAACGAGCCCGCCGCAGACGCCGATCTTCATGTTAAAACAATGTGGGTAGGCGGGTGGGTCGCAAATCGGTCGCGGGTGGGTCGCGGGTGGGTCGCGGGTGGGTCGCGGGGTGTGTGAAAGCGAGAGTGCTGGATTGCCCAGCGTTTGCCCCTCGTCTCACCCGTATCGCTCCGTAAAGATTATGGCTCCCAGGGCCCTTGAGCTTTAGGCGACACGCGGAAAACATCGCGCGCCCATCTTAGCAGATATCAGAAGTCGCATATTCACATAGGTAGCAGAAGCAGTTCGAGCCACGGACGACCACAGTGGATTGCCCGCTTCGACGGATCGACTGTCAGCAGAGTTGTATTTCGACGGATTGCCTGTCAGCAGAGTTTCATTTCGACAGATTGCCTGGCAGCTGTATTTCTAAGCTATGGCCCCCAAGCGGGAGCAGGCCGAGGATGAACCCGGAGACGCTGGGGAAGAGGGAGACCCCGTTGCCGCGCAGATTGGAGGTGGGCCGTTTATCAAAGCGCCTTCCTTCGACCCCAAGCAGATGACGATGAAGGATTACCGCAGGAGAGCTGCAGTGTTCAGAATCCGCACACGCCTGCCCCAAGAGAAGCAGGCCGCGGAGCTGTATGCAGAGTTAACGGGTGATTCATGGGTATAGAGGACTTCGACCCGCTGGGGTTACAGAGTGCAAAAGGGGTCAAAGTGTTGCTAGATTCCCTGGCAGATAAGTTTGATGACGAGAAGATGATGGAGCTGGGCGGAGAGGTCAATACGTTCTTCACCAAGATGCGCCGCGAGAGCGGCGAGGAGGTTCGCAACTACATTAATCGCTTCGATTCGCAGACGCTCCCGATTGAATTCCCAGATCAGGCGCTGGCCTGGTTGTTCATGTGGTGTCTGGGTCTTCCGCCAGAGAGAAGCTGGAGCGTCAACGCTAACCAGAATAAGTACGAGTTCAAGCCTTTGCAGAAGCAGACGCTGCTAAACGTGAAGGGCGCTCGAGCACTGGATAAGTTCAACCCCCCAGGCCCGCACCAGTATCGTTTGCCACAGGCACAGGTGGAGTTAGACAGACTTTGGGGAGCTTACGTGACGGAGAACGACGATGAAGATGAGAATTTCGAGACACTCGGGACACAAATGGAGGACGATGACCTGCCAGAGGAGTTGCTCGAGGAAGAGAACGAAACGGAAGCAGAAGTGTATAAGCTGGAGAAGATGTTAGCCATGGCGAAGGATCGGCAGAAAGACGCCAAGCAGGCCAGAGGATTTTACCATAGAGACCGGCCGGCTGGAGGCATGAGCGGCGGCAGTATACGGCGAACGTTGGAGGCAAGGGGTGCTCAGACCGCATCAAAAGGCTGAAGGCGAGAACGCATTGTGCAGTATGCCAGCGGATTGGGCATTGGAAAAGAGATCCTGAATGCCCTGGACCACCGAAGAAGGCGCACATAACGACGGCCGACGACCACCAGGAAGAGGATGACGGCCCCGACCAGCACTACGCGAACTACACGAATTGGCATAATAAGGAGCAGCAGATTGCCGAGCAGACTTTTCTTCATCAACGAAGCGATGATGACGGAAACGGTGAACGTGATAATGGCTACGAAGGAGTAGCTGCTTCAGCAGTTCGGAGGCCAAGTCTGGCATCTGGCACGATGACATGAAGAAGAGGCTCGCCAAGCAGGGCCTCAAGCCGATTGAGTTTGACGAGCGAGAGGTTTTCAGATTCGGAGCGGGCAAACCAATTGCGAGCGCGATTGGAGCGCGGTGCAGGGGCGCCATTTCACACTGAAGATCCCCATCGTGCCGCGTTTAGTTCCAGCGTTGCTGTCCCGAGAGGCCCTTGGTCAGCTGGGCGCCACTCGTGACCGCGAGGTGGGGGCTGGCGAGAGCACGCTGACATTCCGGAAGCTGGGGGTCGCCAGCCTCAGGCTCGGCCGGATCAAGAGCGGACGCCCAACTATCGACGCGTTGCAGTTCGACAGGGCCCGCTTTTTCACAGTGGCCCCAGACGCGGGTCCGAGCCAGACAGAGACCAGGTTCCTTCCGCCATCGCAGCGCTGGCGGAAGGAAATCGAAAAGTGCCAGGCCCATCCTGGTCAACATGGCGCTCTGGAGGCCCCCCCAGGACGCGCCCAAGATATCTCGAACAGGCCCCCCGTGGGACCGTGAGGGGGGCTCGGGCAAGATGAACTTCAACAAGTTCGAGAGCGACCCGAATCACAGCGAGATCAACTTCAACCAGTTCGAGAGCGACCCAAAGCAGCGCGAGATAAACTTCAACACCTACGAGAACGATCCGAGTCACTTCGAGCAAAACTTCATCATGCGAGAGCCCGAACGGAAGTCAGGTCAGCAGCAGCAAGCAAGGCAAACAAGACGAGTACGTTCTGAAATAACCAAGCGTTTGGGTGACGATGAGACCTCCCGTATGCAGTCAAGATCGGTTCGAGCAGTCTCAGGCGATCGGCAATTTCTTCCATATTCAGATGCCTCTCAGTGTGCTGGCATGGCTTCACAGTTGGGACGCGCTCAACGTAGACGCCAAGAAGCACTGCAACACGGCAGCGCTGTTGCGTTGGAAGCAGGTGTTCAAGTTAGTGTTCACTGCGATCGCGATGGCCAGGCACCTGGCAGTGGCGACAATTTTTCACAGCGGGCGTCGGCATGGGAAGGGGGAGATCATGGAAAGTCGATTCGAGCCGCCAGAACCGCGACGTCTTCTTCCGACCGGGGCCGCGGTCAAGCTGGAGCTGCAGGAAGAGATGGAGAACAACGGGTTGGCGTGCCAAGTCACGGGCTGCCGGGGGGCGCGCGCGATTCTCAGCGAACAGCGGATCCAGAGCGGACAGAGCCGAAGGGGAGCTCGAGTGCCGGATCCGGAGCTTCGAGGTTTCGCCAACAATTGCCAGGCGGAGCTCATTCAGCTGGCCAAGAAGCGCAACGTCAAGGTCACCGAGGGGATGATCAAGGACAACATCGCGCGCTTGCTGTTGGAGCAGATTCCGACAGCGGTCAAGAAGGGGAGATCAAGGGCGAGGCGCCGCTGTTTACGATCTCGAAGGATGCCTCAGCGACCGGGGGCGCCTGCTTAGCCTGCCGGAGCTCCGGAAGGGAACGTCTCGCAAGGCCGGCGGCGCCACCTCCCTCGGGGGGCCCCGAGAGCGACGGACCACCGATGAGGCGGAGGACCTCGCCAATGAGCGATATGGCTATTGCGGCCGAAGACGTCGGCGTGGAGGGGGGCCAGGACTGGGGGATTAGAATTCCGAAGGGGAGGGTGCGAAGGCAGCCAGGGCGAAGCGCGAGACGAAGCCCGGGCAGATCAAGCGCTGCAAGGACATGATCAACAAGGCCGTCGGCTTCCTCGCGTGGCAGGCCCTATTCGCGGGCGCGTTTTTGGTGAAGCCGCTATTCTTAGAGGGCAAGGCTCGCGCCCAGGACCTCTGTGGCGTGTTCGACGTCAAGACCGACGCAAGCTGCGACCTAATGCAGATCTTCGCGGGAGAAGCTGCTATATCCGAGGAGTTTTGTATGGGGGGGGGGGCTTCGAGTTATGCGAGCCGATCGATCGGATCTACAACTATCATCTTCGAGAAGTGCAAAATCGACGTGGCGTCCCACGCATCTACCACGCGTGCAAGCCGAAGCTGCTGACCCTGGAACTCCTTGCACTCTGTGGACGCAGTCGACGAGGGTCAACTACCGAGGAGGCCAGACAACAGGAACTACGTCGCAAGCGCATGAGATACCGACCTCTGGACTTCGTGGAAGAGGTAGGTATGATGCAGCTGAACAGTAAGCGAGACGTGCTATGCGAGAACCCCTGGACCTCGGAAGTGTTCAAGCAGCCGCAGGTCAAGCACCTAATGGGGCATCCAAGAGTGAGAGGGGGTGAACGCCGACATGTGCCAGTTCAACTTACGACGTCCGGAGTCGGATGGAAAGATCCGGAAGCCGACGAAGCTCCTGGTCTCCGTTAACGACGCGTATGTCAAGAGGCGGAGGCCACCAACATCACCAATTCGAGGGGGCTCATTATACGCGCAAGGAGGCACGCTGCACCCAGGAGTTCGCGAGGGCCGTTCTGCAGGCCTGCCGGCGCAGCAACCGCGGCTACAAGGCGGAGCGCGGCATCTGCGCAACAGGGGGTCTCATGGACCTCAAGGGTGGAGAATCCGACAAATGGTTTTACTACGAGAACGTGGGTGATTTCACGGAGCTGCCAACAAAGTTACCAGACGGACCTAATTGGAATCGAGTTGGACGACGAAGGGTCATCGATCTCGAGACCGATGTGGTATTGCAGGACTTCGTGAAGGCCGACATCGCCCCAGATTTGATCAAGCCGAAGTTGGGCCGCACCGCCAAGCTGAACATCCAGATGTGGTGCATGCCCGAGCCTGTCGCGGACGACATTGGAGCTAAGGCCATCCAGTTCGGACCTGGAAGTTCAGATTGTTCATGTCAGGACCTGGCGGCACTACGTCAGCTGCATCAGAATTTAGGACATCCCAGCAACGAAATCATTGAGATTCTCAGGATGTCGACCGGAGGCTGTGAAGGCAGCGAAATCACTGCGCAGCGCTTCCTGCATGCGTAAGGCGAGGCAGAAGATTGCGAGGCCAGCCAGGTTTTCGCGCACGGCAGATTTCAACGAGCAGATTGGGCTGGACTGCTTCACAATCAAGGACATCGATGACAAGGCTTGGGAATTCATATCGGCAGTGGATTTGGGTACTACGTTTGACGTTGTGGGTGTGGTCGAGAGTCGCCATGGTTAGGTTTTTATTCAAATCTGGACTAGCTGGGCAGGGCCGCCAGCAAGTGCAGCGGTCGATTTGGAACGTGCTTTTGGTTCGGTATTTCAAGAGATGCTCGATTGATGTCATTGTGCCGTCGTTCCGGTAGCAGGACAAGCCGCGTGGCAGCATGGACGCCTTGAGCGTCAAGGAGGATGGTGGAAGGAATTGGCCGAAAGGACCATCGCACATAGCGCAGCATCCAGAGAGTCCGCCATGCGTGCCATCGCTTCCGTCGTCACCGGAGGCGAGAACGCACTGCGCCGTCAATGCGGATTTAGTCCAGAGCAGAGGGTGTTCGGTTAGAGCGCGCGACTGCCAGCAGATCTAGTGGGCGGAGCTCACCATGACGCGGCCCATGAAGGAGCAGAACTATAGCCCATGGAGAGACAGCTCAAGATGAGGACTGCAGCTCGCAAGGCCGTCATGGATATCAGAACGACGGCGCGCTGCGCAAGGCGCTACTGGGCTGCGCCCCAGTGCACCCACATCCAATGGAGCAAGGAGACCTCTGCTTCTATCACCGCCAGCTCAAGAAGGGATCGATCAAGAAGGGCGCGCGATTGGGGCCAGCTTTGATCGCGGGGAAGCAGGGTCATAACTACTCGATATCACATGGTGGTTTCACGAAGTTAGTAGCTCTCGAACACGTGCGCCCAGTGACTGTAGAAGTCTGGTGGCCAGGTATCGACGATCAACATGGAGAAGCTCTGGATCAACATCAACGACTACATCGCGATGCCGACGCCAGCGCCGATATGGAGCACGAAGACTTACGAGGAGAAGAATCACCACCTGAAGAAGGAGTTGTCGAGATGGAGGCGGAGCCCGCAGGGGTACCTGCCGAGGGCGCGTCAGGAGTTCGAGATGATGTCGAGCCCTCACTTGCTGATGAGCTCCCACAAGAACAGTCAGACGCCGTAACGGACCCATCTACACCAGCATCGCCACCGCCATCTGGACAAGTTCAGGATCGCCCTGGGCCGTACTACGGAGACTGGAACAGCGAGGAGTTCCAGCGACGTCGAGCCGCCCACTACCCGCTCGACGACGTACCTCTATGTATTCGAGGAAGACATCAGCAAGACGAGACTGCACGACAGAACGCTACACGGCAAGCCGCGCGACAAGCTGGACAACCATACTACGGCAGTATCACACAAGACAGAGACGAGGGCACCACCATCAATTCGAGTTCTGGCCGCCATGCTTCGTGGAGCTCGAGCCCAGAGTGAGAGACTCAGGAAGAAGCTGCAGGATAAGGAGATCGCTTGGACGGGCATCCCTGGGGGGCACAAGCCGCTCTACCAGAAGGCCATCGCGGAGCACTGGGAGGAGTGGAAGAAGAATGGCTCAGTGGAGGCTTTATCTTTGAAGGTGTTTCAACGAGCACGACAGGAGAACGACAGCGACCAATTCTTGCCATCCAGGTTCGTGTTCCAGGACAAGAACGTTACCATGCGCGCGGAGGCCAACCCAGCGCCGGTGAAGGCCAAGACCAGACTCTGCGCGGGAGGACGTCGAGACCCGGATCCACAGGCCGGGGCTCCTCGAACGGATGCGCCTACTGTAACGAGGACCAGTCCCCTATTGTTCGGTATAGTGGCAGCTAGATATGAGTGGGATCCAGTGCGCGTAGACATCACGTCCGCCTCTGTGCAAGGAGAAGGGCAGCCGAGAGACAGGCCCTATTTCATGGAGCAGCCACCGCAAGGCTTAGCAGGCTTTCAGCCAGGACAGGTTTTACGACATGTCAAGGGGATGTTCGGTTTGGCCACCGCTTCAAGGCAGTGGTGGGATACGCTCAAGAACGCTCTACTGATGGTCAAGCTCGTGAGTAGCCAGAACCATAATACCGACTTGGTTCAGAGTCTGGCGGGCTCCGCATCGTTCGTGGGACATGGATCAGACGGGACCTTGCAAGCCATTGTTTGCGTGCAAGTGGGCGACTTGCTGATTGTAGCCAGCGCCGAGCCCAGCTACGAGATCATTCGGAGTATGGCAAGAACTCGATTTCACTTTCTGTGCTAAAGGGCGTTGTTCGATGGTCAGATGGAGCCATGCGCATGTCTCAGGCAGTTGTCGCCGAGAACCTAGCCCCGCTCGAGTTGGCCACGGGGCGCAAGAGAGATCTCGGATGCCCAGCCACGGAGATCGAGGCCGCCGAGAACCGGAGTTTGATCGGAAGCTTGGGATGGCTTGCTACTCGGACCCGACCTGACCTAGCAGTAGGAGTTTCAATGGCACAGAGAGTGCAGAATTCACCGGCCGTAGCCGACCTGATTGAGACGAATCGCATAGTGGCAGAGGCCAATCGGTACGTGGAGACCGCCGTAACGGCTTTGAAGTTGGATGGCGAGCTATGTAATCTTCTGTGTTTCACGATGCTGTGCGGGCTAACGTGGGCGAGGCCGATGACGCAGTATCCGGCGCAGCCTGGTGGCGCAGGCGTCGATGCAAGACGGCTTTCTCATCGGGGGCCCCGAACAGATTGAAGGCTAAGAGTCAAGCGGGCTTCTTGGTATTCGTGACCGAGAAGAAGATCCTCGAGAACGGCGAGGGGAAGGCTGCGTTGGCGGACTGGAGGTCCGCTGCCACTAGGAGAGTATGTCGCGGCACTTTTGCTGCCGAAGCCATGAGTGCAGTGGGCGCTTTGGGTTCAGCCATTATGATGCGCGTTTCTATTCCGAACATTCTGTATCCTGATATGAGCATCGATTTTATTGACCCAGGTTTGTGCGATTCAATGTGTGACGGATTGTGCTTCACTATATGACACAGTGCATCGCGAAGGAGCAGTGAAGTTGCTTGGTGTTGAATTTAGTAGGGCTGCGTGAGTTGCTGGAGGACGAATGCGTGGAAGAAGTGGCCGCTGCTACTAGATCGAGGTTGCCGTTGGCATGGCGCCCTACCAAGTGCATGGTAGCTTATGCGCTGACAAAGAGGATGGGCCGATCACAGATACGCAATGCAATGAGTTGACATGTGATGTTTCACCAAGACACCCCGCCTAAGACTGACAACAACCAGACTATCATGATGAGTTCCTGGTCTACATACTGGGAGCATCGGGTTTGAGATATTTCAAGTGAGCCGGATTCCATATTCAGATATAACATGCGGCCTGTCGGCCGCCTGTTAGAATTTCTTGCCATCAGCTTTTGTTGTGCAGAAGTCTGCCGCCGAGTACGGCGGATCGCCCGGTGTCGGTCCCTGGGGTTTCATTTGCTGGCACGCTGGGTGCCATTCGGGGTTTTTGTTTCTTCCGTAGCCTCTGGCTCAAGCCGCGCTGGCTCAAGATGGCCGAGCCGGCTTGCGCGGCCGCGGCTGGGGGCTTGCCCCTGGCCTCCGGCCACCCCCGCCCGCGGGGGTGGGGATGGAGGTCGGCCCCCCCTCCTCCCCCGCGCCCGCCGGGCCGTGCCCCCGGGCGCCCCTGCCCGCGCCGCCGGCGCGGCCCGTTGGCTTGCGGAGTCGCCCGCGGCCCGCCGCCGCCGCCAGCGGCGCGCGGCCGCCTGTCGCCGCGCGGCGCCGCCCCCGGAGCTGGCGCCGCGGGCTGCCGCGGCGGCCGCCGGGGCGCCCCCGGCCGCGGCCGCCGCTGCCCCTCGGGCCGCCGCGGCGGCCGCCTGCGTCGCCGCCGCCGCCGCCGGCGAGGCCGCGGCCGCCGCGGGCCACTGGGTGGCCGTGGCGGCCCTGGCCCGCGCCGCCAGCCTCGCCGCCGGGGCTGCCGGCAGCGGCGCCGCGGCCGCGGCGGCGCCTGCCTCGGCCGGCCGCGCGGCGACCGCGGCGCCGGCCGCGCCTGGCACGTTCTTCCAGGACGAGGGCGGCGCGGGGGAGGCGGTCGAGAGCGAGTTGGGCGCGCAAGACTCTGTGGGCTCCTGGGACCCCGCTGGTTTCGCATCGGATGGCAGCACGGACGATTTCGCCCGCCGACGCCAGATGGAACCGAAGCACGGCCTTGTGAGCATGTTGGCGACTATGGGCTACATCACCCCTGACATCATTGGCAAGCTGCCGGGGTTCCCGTCGCCGTCCAAGGGCCTCGCGGTCGAGGACGTCCTGAGCGGCTTCGGCACCCTCTCCAGGATTCCCGCGACGGGCTGGGAGCAAATCGTGGCTTATTGCGCGTTCTGCGAGCTGTTCCAGGACCTGGCGCCGACGCCGCGGCGGGCGACTTCGCCTGGAAGGTGCTGACGTCCAGCGACGCCGCAGCCAAGCGGTCGAAGTTGGAGGCTGAGATCGCCATCGTTCCCTCGACCACGATTGCGATCGTCGGCACGTTCGTTCGGGAGGCGGTCAAGAGCATGCTGTGCGCGCAGGGCCCGGTGGACTTCTGGGATCCCGCTGGGTGCGCCGACTACTGTTGGGACGGCATCTGGGAGTTTACACGGTGAGATTGTGCAGTGGGCGGCGACACGGCTGGCCATGCGGATTGTGCATGCAGATTCTGCGTGCATGCGGATTGTGGCGATACGGATGGCCACGCGGAATTCATTATTGTACATATTCACGACGGAGGAGGAAGACCACGAGGAGAGGGGGGAGTACGACGACTGCGTTTTGGATGGCACTGTGTGAGCTAGTACGTCAGTGGATTGGGATGGCGTGCCGAGTACTGTTGGGACGGTATCTGGGAGTCTACGCGGTGAGATTATGCAGTGGACGGCGACACGGATTCTGCGTGCATACAGATTGTGGCCCTATGCTGGACGGCGTATCGGGGGGGCTAACAGGCCGGGCCCGCCTCCCAGGAGTCCACCAGATCTGTCCACGCTGGATCTTTACAATCCCAATGGGGTGCAATGGCGGTGCAGATATTTGTTGGCACTGGAAGGAGACCCCTCATCATCTGCGCTGTATACGGCCACTCCGGCGCCAAATGGGAGCCGCAGAAGAAGAAGCTAACGCTGGACCTCCTGGCGGCTGTCGTGAAGGACGCGGTGATGCGAGGGGGGGTTGCTGCACTCATAGCTGGGGATATCAATCTTGAGCTAGCAGATATACCTGACTATGTCCACAAGATGACCCAGGCGGGATGGCATGATGCAGCGAAGTGGGGGCTTGGAGGCCTGGACGAGACGCCTACGCGCCTTAAGGGCAAACGCGGATCTCGGATAGAGATTGGGCTCTCGCCAACAAGACCTGTTCGACCATGTTGCGGGGCTACTCGGTGCAGAACGGCCTCCGGGAGCGCGAGCACCAGTTCGTCCGCCTCACGCTGTCGCTGCCTGTGGCCGCGCAGGTATAGTGCCAGTCCAAGAGCATGGGTCCGAAGGGGGAGCGCGGCGCTCCTGGGCCAGACCATGTGCCTCCAGAGCTGGACGGTGATCCTGCTATACCGCTCTTGCTGCAGCAGGGCAAGGTCGATGCAGCCATGGCTAGATGGTGCCGGCGCGCAGAGGGCCGACTTCGTATTATACCGCGCCTAGACGGCAGCTGTGCGCCAGGCAACGGTCGTGGGAAGGCGCGAACTTGGAAGCTATGTGTACACCCGCCGGAGACGCGATCGGTTGGGGCGCACGGCTCCGCTGCAACCACCACCGGCCGCCAGTTGGCCACAGCCATCCAGAGGTGCAACGAGCTCTTGCGCATGGGCTCCTTTGGGACACGGGCGGACCGCACCTGGGAGAACCTGCTGCAGGGTCTGCGGGGCGCTGCCGGCCCTCTCTCTGCTGAGACGCAGAGTCTGCTGGAGACGCTCTCTGGGGGGCCGCTTACCTTGGCGCACACGGAGAAGGTGCTCAAGCTACTGGTGGCGGAGTACAGGGCGCATGAGCAGAAGGAGCGCAAGAGCCGGGTTGACGCCTGGAAGCGAAGGCTGCAGGCCTCCGCTGCGGCAGCTCACAAGTGGGTCAAGGGCGGAGCCCAGCCGGCGAAAGAGGCAATGAAGCTGCCTGGCGGGGTCTTCACTGCTGACAGGCAGGAGTAGCTTGCCGCAGTGCTCAGAGAGTGGTTGCCTATACTGCACATGTACAAAGACAGCCCAGAGGACCCGGCAGCCTTCCCACGCTTTTTCCAGCCCCACCTGCGCTCCGCAGAGATGCAGCTCTGGCCCCTGCGTTGGGGCGACCTGGCACAGGCAGCGTGCGAGACCCAGGCCTCCGCTTGCAGCTCGGACCAGTGGCGACCCGTGGAGCTGCGCGCACTAGGAATTTGGTGCCTTCAGATATTCGAGGATTTGGCGTTGATCCTCAACTACGTCGAGGAGACTGGACACTGGCCGCGCGAGCTGACCAAGGCGTACGTCGCTCTGGCCCCCAAGGACGACGCGCTGGAGGAGCCGCAGCCCACGGGCTTTCGCCTTATCAGCGTCTTGAGCGCTGTTTACCGCCTCTGGTCGAAGGTGAGGTTTGCGGAGACTCTGGGGTGGCAAGAAGGGTGGTGCCCTGACGAGATGTGGGGTTGCAGGCGACACCGTGGAAGAGAGACCATGGCGATGGCCATCGCGCTGGACCTGGAGTCTGCAGCTTACGGTGGCGGCAAGCACGTGGCCGGCGTTTCCTATGATTTCAAGAAAGCCGTTGACCTCATTCCTATTGAGATCATGCTTCAGGTCTTGGAGGCACGGGACTGCACGAGAGGCTACTGCGGCCTCTGCGCGCTATGTACACTGACCTGCGCCGCGTCTTCAAACTGGGGGGATCAGTAGGAGAGTGGTTCCAGGCGTTCAACGTAATCATCCAGGGGGACGCTTTGTCGATGATCGCGCTGAACAGCATCGCCAGCTGCATTCTGGAGACTTCTGGCGCGCGCGCGGCGGAAGGGGCCACGGAGCGCTCCTACGCCGACGACATCTCAGCAGCGACGGTCGCGGAGACGCCAGAGGCAGCAAAGGAGGAGGTCAGGCGATTTCACGGCATCGTTCGCGCCTTCACCTGGGCGGAGGGCGGCGAGATCAACCTCGAGAAATGCTTCGCCGTTGGCGATGACTGTGCTCGCGGTGTTCTGGGGGATGAAGTGCGCCGCTTTCGACAGTTTGAAATCGTCGGCGGTTCTTTTGCAGCGCGCGAGAGCGCAGATGCTGAGACAGAGCTCGAACTGCAGCGGCTGGCGAAGTGGAAGCTTACTCTGGGCAGAATCCGGCACGTCCCGAGGTCTTGGCGAGACCGGGCGCGGATGATGCAGGCCGCGCAAGCGCGGGCCTTCTTCGCGCAAGGCACCCGCGCAATGGTCGCCGATGTGGAAGGTAGGCCGCTACTCCTTGAGCCCACTGGTCACTTTCGTGCTGCTCGCCCCGGCGCAGCTCGACGCGGAGTTCGGTGCCGTCTACGAAGGCCTCAGAGCGGTCATGCGGGCGATGCGCGTTCCTGCGCTGGCGACGACGCTCAAGGAGCGCTTTGGCAGCGTGCCGACCGCCCGGCGGGATGGCCCAACCTTGCGTCTGCGCGTGCTTCGCCGTTCTGGTGCTTTTGGGCCCCTTGTCGGCAGGCTCCTGGGCGGTGCCGTGACGGACAAGCAGACGGAGGGCGAGTGGCTGCGCGACTTGCGGGATGCGTGGAGACGCGCCCTCTGGCAGCGCTTGGTGAAGGAGCGGGGGCGCCAGTACGGAGGCGCCGAGGACGTTGACCGAGTGCGCACAATGATCTTGCACGACCGGCTCCAGGAGCAGGCGTCTGCGGATGAGGAGGCCCAAGAGGAGGAGGCTGCAGAGGCCCGGGCCAAGCTGGGCGCACTCCGGCGGACACTTGCAGGCGGGCTCCTCACCAACGAGCGCGTGGGGAGGCACAAGAAGGAGGGATCCTTGGCCTGTGCCTGCGGCGCTCCGGAGGCGACGGTGGAGCACGTTACGTGGGAATGCAGCCAGCACGAGCCCGCGCGACAGCGTCTGCTGGCGGAGCTGCCAAGAATCACCTCTCTGGCATTGCACGAGATATGCGGGGATCATCCCTGCCAGCAGCCCGCTGACGCAGCGCCAGTCGGTCCTGCTGCAAACCTTCATGCTGACAGTGCGGAGGGATCAGGTGCAGCGCTGGCACCGAGGAGACGACCTCCTGCAGGTGGCAGATCCCGAGGCACCGGCGCCGGCTGAACAGGAGGGCGCCGCAGCTGCAGCTCTGCAGGGGCACGCCGAGAACGGGCACCACCTCGAACGTCGGGTGGGCGCCGACGGCCTGCGGTGCCGGAAGTGCGGAAAGTTCGTCCAGAGGACGCAGCACGTCCGCCTCAAAATCACGGGCCGCCGCTGTGAGTTCCCAGATCTCCCGCCGGAGCGCTGGCTCCAGCGCGAGGGGCAGCGCCAGGCGGAGAGTCGCCTGGACCAGTTGTGGCGGGACACGGAGGAGCGCTACAACAAGGGCGGGCACGTCGACGTGGAACAGGCGGACCGGCAAGGTGGCCGGAGCAGCCGATGAGGGCTGGATCGAGTGTGCCGCCTGTGGGAGCAAGTGGCGCTGGGCTTATAGATGCAATAACTTGCCGCGCACACTGTGCCGCTCTGGGAGCAGGCCCAGCTAGCAGCTGCAGCCAGACAACGACACCAGCAGCGCCAGCGCCAGCACAAGCACCAGCACCATCACCACAACCAGCTCCAGCACCACCAGCGGCCCCAGCACCAGGAAGAGGAGGCAGCAGCCAGACAACGACACCAGCAGCGCCAGCACCAGCACAAGCACCAGCACCAGCACCACAACCAGCTCCAGCACCACCAGCGGCCCCAGCACCAGGAAGAGGAGGACGAGGAAGAGGTCGAGGAGGAGGGCGGGCCAATGGCAGTAAAGATGGAGGAGGTAGAGGGAAGCCCAAGAGAGGAGGCACAGGAGGTGGACAAAGAAGAGCAGCACCATCACCAGCACCACAACCAGCTCCAGCACCACCAGCGGCCCCAGCACCAGGAAGAGGAGGCAGCAGCCAGACAACGACACCAGCAGCGCCAGCACAAGCACCAGCACCAGCACCAGCACCACAACCAGCTCCAGCGCCACCGGCGGCCCCAGCACGAGGAAGAGGAGGACGAGGAAGAGGTCGAGGAGGAGGGCGGGCCGATGGCAGTGAAGGAGGCAAAGGCGGAGGAGGCCAAAATGGAGGAGGTAGAGGGAAGCCCAAGTGAGGACGAGGAGGAGGTCCAGGAGGAGGGCGGGCCAATGGCAGTAAAGGAGCCACAGGCGGAGGAGACCAAGATGGAGGAGGTAGAGGGAAGCCCAAAGGAGGAGGCGCAGGAGGTGGACAAAGAAGAGCAGCAGCACCAGCCCCCCCAGCAGCAGCTTCAGCAGCGGCAGCTTCATCTTCTGGGAAGAGTATTGGGAGGAGGGGGCGTGGCATCGTCATCCCGAAGCGGGGCGAGGGCTAGGTGCGCGTGGTCGTGGAGCCCTCAGGCTGCGAGCCTGTTTGCTCAGACACGCACCAGCTTCTGGGATCCCGCTGGGTTCGGAGCGGATGGCAGCGTGGGCAATTCCGCCCGCCGGGGCCAGATAGAGCTGAAGCGCGGCTTCGTGAGCATGGTGGCGACTATGGGCTCCATCACCCCAGAGATCGCTGGCAAGCTGCCGGGGTTCCTGTCACCGCCCAAGGGCCTCGCCTTCAAGGGCGCCCTGAACGACCTCAGCGCCATTTCCGAAGTCCCCGCGGCAGGCTTGGGGCGAATCGTGGCCTACTGTGCGCTCTGCGAGCTGTTCCAGGACCAGTCTGCTGGCGCCGACGCCTCGGCGGGCGACTTCGATTGGGAGGTGCTGACGGCCAGCGAATCCGCAGTGAGGCGGTCGAAGCTGGCGGCTGGGATCGCCAACTTTCGCTTGGCCATCATGGCGGTCATCGGCATGCTCTTCCAGGCTTTGGAAGGCGCCCCTCCTCCTCCTTTTACCTCTCCCGTCACGGGACCAGGAATTCAGAATTTTGAAGCGGATCCTGCCGTGGTGACCGGGGCGACGGACGTCCATCCCGAGGATCCTGCCACAGTTGAAATGAGGCGCGCTATGCCAGAAGGGACCGCGGTTTCGGTATTATCGAATCTCCAGGGTGAAATGGGGCCCGTTAGGCCAGATGCAAATCGCGGCGTCTCGAGCCCCAGCCCTTTCCCCGACGACCGCCCAGAGCGCGGACCACCTCAGCGCCCCGTGAAGACGACAGACGACCATTCGGAGGATCCCGCCACCGCTGAAATGGGACCCGTTAGGCCAGAAGGGAGCGTGGTTTCGATGCTATCGAATTTGGAACACGGACCACCTCGACTTCCCGTGACGACGACAGACGACCATCCGGAGGATCCTGCCACGGCTGAAATGGGGCTCGCAAGGCCAGAAGGGAACGCGATTTCGATATTATCGAATCTCCCAGGCGAAATGGGGCCCGTCAGGCCAGATGCAAACCGTGGTGTCTCAAGCCCCAACCCCCTCCCCGACGACCACCTTGAGCACGGACCACCTCGACGCCCAGTGACGACGACAGACGACCATCTGGAGGGCGAACAAGGAAGACGCGACGCTTATCCCCGCAATGGGAGCTACGACCCCGCCACGAGACCGCGCCCTGGACCGGACCGTGGTGACGTTGACGAACCCCCAGTCCCGATGGACAATGCAGAACCGCCGCTCTGTCCACCTGGCGCGGCGATCCTGAGCCATCACGCCACAGCAGAAGCGCCGCGCCCACTCGGCGACCCAGCAGAACCCTCAGGGCAGGGCGACTTCTCCCCAATGAACGTGAACGCCCCCCCCCCCCCCCCCTCGGCCCACCCAGCCCAGTGCCTCGCAGCAGTAGCCTCAGTAAGCCAACCGCTGAGGCCAGGGAGGCGACCAGCACTCGAGGAGACCTCGAACTGCCGATCGACGGGGGGCCAGGGGCAGGTAGGAATGCCTTCAGCGAACCCGTGTCCTCAGCCGTGGCCGAAGTCGGGGGCTGCCGCGACAGCCCTGACCCGGGCTTCGCCCTGGCCACACAAGCAGGTACACGGCCGTCTGCCGCCGCATCCCAGTGCCCGAGCCAGCAGACCTTCTAGAGAAGCTGGGCCCGGTAGGAACAACGGACCAGCCTTGCAGAGGCAGGACAACGAGGCCATCCGCCAGCTTGTCGACAGAAACCCTTTCGCGCCCATTCGCCCTCCCCCCTGGCAGCGCGTCTGCCCGAGCGGATAGCGAGCCGCATCCGCCCCCTCTCGACGCGGGGGCCTCGTCGGGGGTGGCGACGGACGCCCCGAAGGGACCGGTGCCCGACGACGCGCCTGCGACGGGAGCTACCTGCAGCGCCCCCAAATCTGGCTATCGCCTCGCGGTTACAGATGGGGGCGCGCCCAGGCACAGGTCCGTTGGCGAACGCCATCGAGAGGGGCCTGCCCCCGCACGCCGCAGGGCAGCGCCCCTCTCTGCCCCAGCCGCCGGAGGCGATCTGGCCCCTGCCTGGAGGCCAACCGCGCGGCCCGCCCCGACACGCATGGCCTCGCCAGGCGTTGCCGGCCGAGCAGCCGCCGTAGCGCGCGAAGCCATGGGCGTCTCTGGCGGCGGGCCCAGCCAGGCGGGGCTTTCGCAGAGGAGCAAGCGAGAGCAGCATGGGGGGCAGGATCCTGACGAGCCCGACGATAAGGGCGCGGCTGTCGCCCGCGGGGAGGGCGCGGAAGCGGCGCCGGCACAGGGATCGGAGCAGGGGCACGAATTGGCAACCATCCACTGCCACTCTCCCATGGCCGGCTCTCAGCACCCTGGCCCTTACCTCCCAGGCAGCGGCGCGGGCTCGAGCACCGAAGAACGGCGACGGCCGCAACGGTCCTCCAACGCGTTCGCCTGGCAACGGATGGAGGCCCGGCCTTGCCCTGGCGACTGGCGGCTTCCCTGTTCCCCTTCCGCCCCTGTGTCGAAGCCCGGCCCCTGGCGACGCCGACGCCGCTGGCGGGCCCGGCGCGCGGCTAGCGACAGGCGGCGGACGCAGCAGCAGCAGCAGCAGCAGAGGCAGAAGCAGCAGCAGCAGCAGCCGCCGCTCCAAGGACCCCCCGCCGACTACCCCGCCACGGGAAGCGGGGCCCGGCGTGCGCCAAGGGTCCGAACCTTTGGACCCCGACACGGGACATTTAAATAAGCTGTGCTGGGGACCCTAAGTGCCAGAGCTTGGGGGCAGACGGCAGCGGCCGAAAGGCCTGGCGAATAAAAAGTCAAGGACACACAGAGCTTAAATATCCGACACAGCAACAGCAGATGAGAGCGACCACATTACAAGCACGAGCAAAAGCGAGGGGTCACCGCCCCAAGTGCAATTCAGAGCACTCGTCCACATCATGCTGAAACCAGCCCTCCTCGAAGAGGGACCACAGGTACCTGACTTTCATGGGCCCTCAAGGGCCGACCAAGCACAACAAAATGAGAGTGCAAACCCCTCACAGGGAGGGGGGGTCTGGGGCCGAAACTTGAGCGGCGGCGAAGCCGAGGCGGACGAGGCCGAGGACGAGGACAAGAGGGAGAGGGACGGCACAAGAGGGGGAGCACTAGCAATGTAAAAGTGCGTTTAGTAAAACAAGTGTTTAAATAAGCTGCGCTGGGGACCCTAAGTGCCAGAGCTTGGGGGCAGACGGCAGCGGCCGAAAGGCCTGGCGAATAAAAAGTCAAGGACACACAGAGCGTGAATATCCGACACAGCAACAGCAGATGAGAGCGACCACATTACAAGCACGAGCAAAAGCGAGGGGTCACCGCCCCAAGTACAATTCAGAGCACTCGCCCACATCATGCTGAAACCAGCCCTCCTCGAGGAGGGACCACAGGTACCTGACCTTCATGGGCCCTCAAGGGCCGACCAAGCACAACAAAATGAGAGTGCAAACCCCGCAAAAGCCAACGCGCCCCTTCTGGCCGAAGGGCCTGCATTCAGGATTTTGAAATCAGCACCGCAGGCAGAGGGAGGGAGGGAGGGGATAGAAAAATACAAGTATTAGATTCAAAAATTAACCCCCCCCAGCTTTGGCACGGATCCCCAGGTTAATTGCTAGCTCAAAAAACGCACTTCGAAATCCAACATCTCACAGACAAGTGAAGAGGGTAGGTGAGGCTAGGCGGCGCCACGGCGTCGAAACAGGGCCTTGCCCCCTGCCCTCGGGCGCCCCACCTCGGGCCGCGCCTGCGACGACGCACAGCCGAGGTCGAGGCTGCCGTTCGAAAGCTGCGAGAGAGCCGCAATCAGGCGAACGGTGAGCGGCCTACGTGCCGCCTTGGACTTCCCCAGCGCCTTGGCCATCGCCGAGCCTGGGGCCTGCCAGAACCGTTCCCCCTTCACGATCTGATCCTTTTGGAGGAGGGAGCGCCGCTGTATCAGCACGTGCGTCTTCGTGTAGCGCTGCAAGGCACTCGAAGTGGTCCAGCGCCCCCTCCTCCTCGCAATCTCCAAGTCTCCTCCATTCGCCACATACTGAGCTGCAC